ATCACCTAATTGCTGTTTTAATATTCCATAATAAAAATCATACATCCTTACTTTTGACAATTCCAACACTGTGAAACCGATGTACAATGGTTTGTTATAGCATATTTTGGTTCTACCCATATGTATAGCCACAAAGTGTTCTGAAAATATAGAACAAGACTTAAAATTCGGTCGAGCAATTAAATTGTTTGCGCCTGGGGAATTTCTCTTACTAACCCAGTGGGTTTTAAGGTAAATATCTCGTCTGTCATCCACGTTTTCCATAGTTTTCCCGTACACACTATTGACCATGCGCTTAAAGTGATTTCTCTCAGATGTGTGCTTGGCATTGTTTCTCATATTAGTATTGAGATCTATGTATTTTTTCAGCCAACGTGACTGCTTAAACTTGAGGGCGCGATGAATTTCAGTTACAATTAGTCCATTATTTATGGCCTGCTTAAAGTTTCTATAGTGTAGTATGTATTTGTCTTTGTGGTTTAAATTCGGCACCAGTTTGGGGATTTCTGTTTTGGAATTAGGTGGAATTATATTCTCCACTAAAAATGGTAAATCGGCGTGTTTATCATGAAGGTGTTGTGGATATGTTACATCAACTTCTAATACATAGCCATAATCCCCGAGATCATCAACTGACATTACATCGAGTTGATTAATTTCCTCCGTCGATAACCATGCAAATTCTCCTGTGGGTAGTGGCTGACTCATACTATACCCATAGAGATTTGTGGCATCAATATAATGTATAGAGGACTTTGGCTCGAAGGGATTATATTCCGATAAATACTGATTATTGGCAATATGTTTTCTTTCCACACATTGACTGATACCGCCACGTATACTATTTTTGAAGAAATTAATCATATCAATATCTGTCAGCAACTCTAACTCCACCTTGGTGTAGCGCAACATCGCATCCCATGACAAACCTGGAGATGTATAATATTGCGCTGGATCGAGTTTATATGCTTTAAGCGATACATCTCTAAAATTTTCAAATATATCGCATAACATTAGAACATCTGATTTTAAATATAAATCAGAATACGATCCCAAGGTTTGGCAATTAAATACATCCCACACTTTCTGGGCCCTCGCGTAATCCTCGTCGGATATGTGACAATCATTTAACTTATCATAAAACTCATCTTTTGAGGGTAAATTTGGGTGATCTAATTTCAATATATTATCCATGAAATTATATGGAAACACCCCTTTCTGTCTCATCAAATAAAATTTTTCTTTTTCTGCAAAACATTTCCTTGTTTCAACAAAAAATTCTGATGGCAAGTTTTCCGACAGCCCAACCAAGGAATCCGCTAAAAATCTGTAACTATCCAAAAATCTGAGTTTTATGTAATTTTTTCTCAAAATACCGTCTCTATCTACATAGCTATGGGTGTACAATGGTTTTGTGAACGAAATATATTTTTCTTTATTTTGGGCAATAACTTCGGCTCTCTCACCTTCCCCATACAATTCTTTAATAAATAAATGGCTGTCATACCCACTCAAATTATGGAAAAATATTGGGACAAATTGCGGGATTTTATAATTTAAATTACAATTGCTATGCGCGGCGCCGGGTGTTTTCTTACCGGTAAGATGGCAATGATCTCTTACTTTAACTTCGCCTTCTTGAAAGGTCTCATCGCAAATAGAGCATATAGTCGATGTGTTAAAATCATCTATTTCATCTTTAGACAGTCGCTGCATTGGAACAATGTCTTTTAAATGAGTATTATAAATAGTTAATACATCATCCTCTAAGCGTTTTACGAAATCGCTCGCGGCATTATCGCCGGTAAAAGTTACAAATTTCGTCAATGAATCATCAAATGAACATTTAATCAGATATGCAAAAGCATATGGCTCATGTTGGTATGTAGGGATGGTGAATTTTTTTTCCGGATCTGGTTCGCAATGATCTATAGGTTTTAGGATCGATTCAAAATCGGCATAAATTACAAATGGGACTCTTAGTTGCTTACCATAATTTTGAAACTTCAGTATATTTTCGGGGACATAATTACCGCGTTTGTCTTTTTTAAGCTCCACTGATGGTGTACTGGTATATATATGATTACAATCGCACAATTGATGACGTAATAGGACGCTTTCAGATGGAAAATAAAGTAAACACCCGTCACAAAAAAATTTTTTATGACCATTTTTAGTTATTTGACTCGAAACTAATCTGGATATACTTTTAATCCAACAATAGTGACTATTACCGGAATCTTCTGTTATTAGCAGTAAATTTATATGATGCCCTAACCTTCTACGGGAATATCGTAATGGGCCTACTATTTCAAATTTAGCCTTACCATTTTCATAACTATGTTCCAAGCCATAAACATTAACACTTATATCATTGAGGTCTTCAAATTTTGAAATGTCTTTAAGCTTCATGGGAAATTCAATGCCATCAACATTCAGCACGGTCTCGAAGTGTGGATACGATGACATTAGGCTAACATGATCTCTGGCTGGATATAGAGCTGATGTGATGGCCCAAGCAAAGCAGTACGCATCATTATTCTGCACATTCACTACACCCTTCTTGGTTTCAATAAACTTAGGCAGCTTTATGTATGAGCAGCCTCCTAACGGAGAGTACTTATTTATATTAACTTCTAGAAATAGTACTTCCTGTAATGACCAACCTGAAACAATGAATAATTTATTAGTTACCGATATATTATATATTATATAACTACTATACCTGAATCTTTATGTTGGAAGTCTACGGTTTGAGATACCAAGGCGTCCTTAAAGTTTGCATATACCACATCCAAATCCGTCGGCAAATCTAGTATTCGATTTATGCTATTGAAAGATTTGATTTCAGAATTATCTTGGCTCTGCAATACATATGTAGCGAAGACCTCTACATTAACTTTAATGGCATTATGGGCCCTCAGAACAACTTTCAACAATTCCAATACCCTCACTTTTATAGCCTCAAAAAATGTTATATAGTCTATATGTTTTTCATCACTTTTGACTCTATAACTTGCGATTCTGCACTTAAATGCACTCTTAATTAAATATATACCATCGACATGAATTGTGCATGCCTTTTCTTTATGACTAAGACTCCTCATATGTGATGTCATCTGATTGGTTGCGATGTCTACATTACATGATTCACATCTACTTTTATGAACTTGTGGGTCTACGGTACGATGTGAAACTCGCATTACACGAGCTTGTTTTACCGGTAAAACATCCGGGCTTGAATTGGCGGTTCTTTTCGTACCGCTGGATGATTCACCATTGCGGTTAGATATCAGATTACAACTTTTATTTTGATGTCGTCGTAAATTATCTGCTCTTGTAAATGTTAAACCGCAATTACACTTATACATATCTACTATTTTTATGATTATTTCGATATTAGATAATGAAACTTCCAACGCACTTATAGCTCGCGACTGATCTCATTCGTATAGATGTGATATTATATACCTCTCAATAAATCCCCACCTCCACTATGCTCCCCTCCCCTATTCATAATATACGGGAACAGCTCCAATTCTTGTTACTTCGGTATAGAGTAACGTAAATTCTAAATACATAGTAATCACTAGGAGGTAATGAGATGTACTTACTATGCTCATTACACTACTCAATTACGTTCATTAAAGTATATAATTTACAGAATAATTGGGAGGCACTTGCTAATTGCGCGAAGGGTGGGATACTACCCCTTCCAACAATATTTACATCGCGCGTGTCTGCCGAAGACCGGTGATTCACTTTAGCTATGGCGGTTGAGAGTCAAGGGTGTGCATGGCGCCGACTTATTTCCCCTATGCTACAACAGTAAACAAGAGAAGTACTTAGACTTATTACACTACGTGATATACACAGTAAATACTGTCTGAGAGGTATGCATATGGTGTAATGAGAGGTACTTACTATGCTCATTACACTATGCAATTACACTCAGTACAGAATAATTGGTTGGTCCTTACATCACTATGTGTACTGAGAGGTACTTACTATACTCATTACACTATGCAATTACACTCATTACACTATGCAATAACATGGTGTACAGAGTAATTCAGAGGTACTTGCTAATTGCGCGAAGGGTGGGGGGTACTTGCTAATTGCGCGAAGGGTGGGGGGGTACTTGCTAATTGCTCGAAGGGTGGGGGGTACTTGCTCGAAGGGTGGGGGGGTACTTGCTCGAAGGGTGGGGGGTGGGTACTTAGGGTAATTACTAATTACACCAATTGCCTCTGACCTTGCCTCTGACCTTGGTCCAGAACTGGCTAATCCCATCTACTTGTCCTATCTATGTTGGACGGAAGGTCGGTACTTCTTACCCCTATTGTGATTCTAGGGTCACTAGGTAGTTGGTAAATTTTGGGCACTGCTCCTAAGTTCTTTGTATGAGGGTTGTTTAATCCACTGTTAGATAGTGTCTGGTTGAACCCTGTGGCTGCGGGAGCAAAGCCGAATCGAAAGCTACTCGATCCACCCTCGACTCGGTCTGTCCCTGCAGACACAGTGTTCACCTACTTTTGTGCCATTGTGTTATTTGCCGGCTTGTTTTGTGGTTCTTTGGCTCTCGGTGTTACATCCGTCGAGCTCCTAGGGCCGTTTTCATTTCCGCTAGGAGGGGTAGTTCCAGGGGTGATGGTGCTACTGTCTAACTAACATTTTGTGGCAGTGGGAGGGTTTTGTATTCGGATTCGAATTCTGGGAATTTTTCCACAAACTTTTTTTTTTCAGAAAAAGTTGTTTTATTTTTTTTTATTTTTGGGGATTCATCCCCGGATTCATCTTGGTCCATCTCTAGGACGGTTTCATTTAAATTTTCCGGACTATTGGAGTCCTCATTCGTGCCTTCCAGGACGTTTATAAGATTCTCCAAACTTTCGTTTGAATCACCTCGTATATTGTCGCTCCTCTCTAAGCTTCCGTTTGATGAGTTGCTCGAGTTTATGCTGTCTGAGCTCCCGGTACTATCTTGCCGTTCGGTGCTGTCACTGTAAGCTCCGTAGTCTAAATTCTCCGAGCTTTTTCTCTTTTTCTTCAGATTTTGGGTAGTCAGTTTTCTCCTTACTTTCACAGTTTTGATTGCATTCGATCACTTCAGTGTTCTCCTTACTTTTTCCGCTTGTCTCCGTGTCTGTGTTTATTACAAGTGTATTCTCCTTACTTTCAAGAATATCGGCGGTGGCAGTATGTTTTGTATTTTTCAACTCAGTTTTCTCCTTACTTTTTCTTATTGTATCGTAGTCCGAGTTTGCTTTCTCCTCACTTTCGAAATTGCCGTCGGCCGTAGAAGATTTTGACTTATTCACAACTAGTTTCTCTAAGCTTTCTAGGCTTGCTTCGGAGTCTGCTTTTGTTGCAAGTGTTTTCTCCAAACTTTCTTTTCTCGGGTTTGTTTCGCGTTCTCCGAGATTTTGACTAGTAGGTGTTTCTGAGATATTACTTGCACTGCTCTCAGCAGATGCGGTATTGGGAGGGCTATTAATGGTCTGATCTGTCACCATCTGTATGTTTTCATTCTCCAAGCTTTTTTTTTTTTAATTTTTTCGTGGAGTCTTCTCTGGGATAGCTCACTGATCCCAGATTAGTAGTTAGTGTTTCTCCCTTGATTACTTACGGTTCTGTAAGGATGTTGATGTCTGGTGGCCTTTATGGTCTTAGGAGTGGTTGGGGTGGCACGATTTCGCGACACATTCACTGAGGTCTTAGGGGGTTTTGTAGAGTTTATCCGCTCACGAAGTCTTTTTGAGTAGATAGTCTCATAGACTGATTTGGATGGCCCGGAGGGCTCCGTCATTAAGACCGGATCACTCCCGGATTTGTTTACTACTTACTGGCGTATAAAGGAAAAAAATAAATTAAATGTTATAAACACGGCTCAGCCGTTAAAAAAATATACGTAGCTTGGTTGCCTATACACTCTAACGTAGAAATTAGCGTGGGTGTGCGAACATACACCTAGAAAAGTTCTAGGTAAACATGAATTTTCAATTCAATTTCAATTTAAAAGTCCTTTATTCTATTTAAAATATTTACAATTTATTATATACAGGTTATAGTCAGTTATTTTGCTTCGGAGTGTCCCTCTTGAAGCTTGAAATATCATCTGATCCAGCTGGTGAATCACGGCCGTTTTCCTAGCCCTATGATACCTATATTTAATATTAATATAATGAGTTTATGTTCTATCTCCTTGCGTAATTACGCACTATATAGAAATTTGGATTGCTAACAAGATCAATAGTTGAGTAGCGTCTATAGTTTTGTATGATTTTACTTGTGAGTTGTCTTCCCTGAAAAACTAGTTGCGAAAAAACAGGGTTGTCCGTGTGTGAATGTGCGTCATGTGTGTGTTTATGTAGTGTTTTGTCCAATTCGCGAGACTACACAGCTTCTACAGTGACCAGAGCCCGGTACAAGGGAGCCCCATACCGTGCTCTGGGCAGTGACGTCACCGTGCAGTCTTCCGTCCGACCACTATTTTCGACTAGTGGTCGTAGCGAATTGGTTGTTTAGTGAAATGCTCGCTGCTGTGAGTTTGTTAGTAGCAGCGCTCATTCCACGTCCCGTTTGTATATTTGTAAGCTTTGATGCAGACATCCATGTTTCCTAGTTGTCCCATCCCTATCATGTGTTTGCATTATGTCTACCTTTAACGTACTAGGTAGACAGTGTTTGTAGAACTTATTAGCTAGTCTTAATATATGTTCTTTAATAGGTTCTATGGATGCCTGCTCGTGCATTTCGTCAATTCTTGCATAACGGTCACACTCCAAAGCTAGGCGGAGACACTTGTTTTGCGTTCTTTGCATTTTTGAGAAGTTCGTGTTTGCCATTGAGCAGAAGGCTGGACCTCCATAGGTTAATATCGGCCTGAGAACTTGTCTGTATAATAACAGTTTGTTATTTGTTGTTAAACCACTGCGCCTATGCAACAGCGGATATAGTAGCTTAATAGCCCCCGTTGTTTTGCTAATCCTATCTTTAATATGGCTTCCAAACGTGAGTCCTCTATCGAGAGTGACACCTAGGTATTTTAATTTATTTTTAATTGGTATTATTTCCCCTTGTATTTTTAGTTTAGATTTTATGAAGTCTGTTTTTCTTTTAGTCATTAAAATACTCTCTGTTTTAGTAGGATTAATTTTTATTTTATTATTATTAAGATAGGGTACCACTGTTCTATTGATATGGATGTCCAGCCTTCTTAATGCAATTTCGGCTGAATATGATGTTTTAAAGATGCAAGTGTCATCCGCGTACAAGGCCGTCTGAATACCATTCTGACCCATTGGCATATCATGAGTCATAATGGTATACAGGTGAGGCGCAAGCACCGAGCCTTGAGGTACTCCCGCCTGCGTAGTGTATGGTCCTTTCTGTATGTTTTTGATTTTAATGTAGAATTGTCTTTTGTCTAGGTAAGTTTGTATTGTTTTTACAATGAAAACGGGGTAGTCATTCTCAAACATTTTGTAGATCAGCCCGTCGGTCCATACGGTGTCAAACGCCTTGGCAGCATCAAGAGCGACAAGCACAGTCTGTTGTCTTGTGTTGAAAGCTTTTTTAGCATTATGTGCTATTCTAATCACTTGTGCTATTGTGCTGTGGCCGGCTCTGAAACCATACTGTTCCGGCGGGATGATCTCTTTGTCTTGTTCGTATGTCTTGAGTCTTTTTAGTAGTATATGATCTACTATCTTTGCTACCCCATTCAGCAACGAGATTGGTCTGTAGCTTTGTACATCCCCAACTGGTTTACCGGATTTGTGAATTGGAACTATGTTCGCCGTTTAAAGTGAGATTGGGTAGTACTGTAACTTCATAATTGCATTTACTAAGTAGTGAACTTGAACTATTGCCTTCTTAGATATGTTTTTAAGAACGATATTTGGAATGCTGTCAGGGCCAGGGGCTTTTCTGTTCTGTGATTTTTTAATTACTTCGTAAACTTCCTTAGGGGAGGTTAAGAAGTGAGATGGAACGCTCTGTGTCCCTAGTTCTTTAATTTGATTGCATATTTCTACAATTTCACTCTGTTCATTATTATTAACCTGTGTATTTACAAAGTTTTCTTGGAAGTATTCACCGAGAGCGATACCTTTTTGTTCGTCAGTAAAGCACACCGTGTCTTTGTATTTCAGTGTGGGAAGTTCGGAGTAAGGTTTTTTAAACTTTCTCAGAACTTTCCACACCGAATTGTCCTGTATGTTGACCGCCTCCAGTGTCAGTCTCCATTTGTTGTTACGGTGTTGGTTGATTCTAGAGTTAATTTCTTTCCCGAGTGCTAGAAGACTAACCCTGTCAGCGTCCAATCTGTCACTTTGCCATCGTCTACGTATGTTATTTTTATATGTAATTAGGTCAAGTATGTCCTGAGGAATTTCGTCTTTGTACGTTTTGTTATTTACAAGTTTTGTTGTTCTGTCTCTTGCAGTCTTGATGGCGTTCGTCAGTTTCATAAATTCTTGTTCAAGTGTGTTATTGTTGTTTATGTCGCTGTTAATTTTCAGTGTTTCGTCTAGTATTTTCCTGAACGTCTGCCAGTTCGTAGTCGCGTAGTTGTAGTGTTTTCCCTGTATTTTGGGGAAGATCTTGGTGGTTTTTATTTCCATGTAAACCGGGTCGTGGTCAGAAGTCATTGTCTTAATTGTCCTTACATTGTCAACGTTAGGTATGTCCTTTGTCACTGCTATGTCCAGTGTGCTGGGTGTGAAGGAGTTGAAGGGGAAGTAGGTGGGTTCCTCCGGGTAATGTATTATAAGGTCTTCGCTCTCGGCGAATTCATCGAGGTTTCTACCACTTTTGTTGGGATTGCTACAGTTGGCGTCCCAGTGGTAGTGCTTGCAATTTAAGTCTCCGAATAGCAGTACTTTTTTCCCCGAGGCCATTATTGTGTTTAGAAACATGAATTTTCGCATCAGGCAGTGACTTCGCCGTGCAGTCTTCCGTCCGGCTAAAGTTGCTATCTAGTCCGAGTTGTAATTTGAATATTCAGTGGGTTTTACGCTGCTATGGTGGATGTATGTCTTTTGTTGAATTTTTACTTTTATTTTCACCAATCCTGTCATGACGATTTGGTCACGTGGATTTTCGCTATTGTTGAAGATCCAGTATATCTACCACGGCATCGAGACGAAATTGTACGATGAAAGCACTAAAAGAAAAGGAAAACAATCGGGTTCGTATAAGAATTAGTTGGTGACGGATAATGGAAAGACTTTAGCGAGAATAAATGAATAATTAATGATAAAAATAAAATGTGGAGTGAGGAGCGAACACTTCTTTTAAGGAGACTATAACGTCTTCGAAATTGAGATACTCATAAATCAAGAATGCATCAAACCTTCGAAAAAGAAAATAAAATAAGTGGCTTCCCCAATGATAAAAAAATGACAAAATTGGGTTGAATCTCTCACTCCAGCGTTAACTATGGCGTTTGTTGAAGGAAAATGGATAGAGTCGTCGAAATTGAGATACTCATAAATCAAGCCTCAATCCAGCCTCAAGTAAGAATTGCCCACGCTTTCGCACTAAGGGGAGAAATGAAAACACTCTGAATATAAATCAAAATTCTCCGGCTAATTAAACGGACGTCCCAAACTAACTGTAAAGCAAAAATAAGAAAATTTCCTGCCTTGAGAAACGGGAATAACTCAGTCACTGATATACTCGGTCGTCGGGAAAATAAAAACTTTTACTGGAACGGCAAATACTGCAGAAGAAGAAGAAGAAGAAGAAGATACTACGGTGGTCAGGAGTCAAAGACCATGAAATTTGACTTCTTCGTCTTATTTATGCCTTCTTGGCAGGCAAGCTTGAAGCTCGGCAATTTCGGAGTGGGAGATATCACCACCACATCCGACTCTTTACTAGTTCAAAAATGAAAAAAAATGCCCTTTCAGCACCTTGATAAATACAAGTAGATAAATGAAATGAAATTAAATCTACAAATTCCCATTCGGATTTCGGCAAATACGGAAATATTTTAACCTACGAGGGTACTCGCAATTGTTTAAAAATGGGAACTCCTCGGAAACACAAATAGAGGGGGCTCTTCGAAACGTTTCTAATTTGTACTTCCAGTACCTACTCTGTAGACTATATCTATGTGGAATTAGGATAATTTAATATAGTATTCTTTCGTAAAACTGTTATATTTTAACTCATTATTTATTATTTAATAGCCAAATAATTTGGATATCTACTAGTTTTATTATAAAACTTAAGTTTCACTTGCAATTTATTTGACCACCCGTCATTGAAAAGAAGTTTCTTGCATATTATAAAAATATAATATAACAGATAAAATGACTTACCCTTAACATACCACTGGATTTTACTTACTGTTTATTACCTCTATATAATGGTAGTGGGTCACCTACAAAACGTACCATGCTTTTAAAATTGTTTTAAACTTTTTTTTTCTGATTCACTTTCCACCTCTGTTACCAAAAGCACCGACGCAATACAATTATTAAAAATCGTATGCAAACTCGTATTA